TAAGAGGGTATGTAGCCAAAAGGCAATCTGGCAGGAGCTGGTTTCATCATCTTGGAATGAAGAAAATTTGACAGGCAGGAGCAGGAGCGATCAGCAGGCCCCTCCCTCCTCCATATGTCCGGTAAAGGTTCCCTCTGCCTTCTGCAGGCTCTCTGTATGCCACAGCATCAGTGCCCAGTGCTCTGGATTTGAGAGTCCCTTGCCACTTCTGTTTTGTTTCTGTGTGTGTGTGTGTGTGTGTGTTACATACGTGTGTGTGTTACATACGTGTGTGTGTTATATATGTGTGTGTGTGTGTGTGTTACATACATGTGTGCTCCAATGTATACTAGAATCTGAACTCTGGTCCCCCTGCTGGTCCCCTCTTAATTTGGAGCTGTCTCTCTACCTCCTTTTATTGCCCCCACCCCCCCACCCCCCACCCCCACATCCCGACTTTTCGTGACAGGGTTTCTTTGTGTTGCAGCCCTGGTTGTTCTGGAACTTGCTCTCTTATCCTCTGAGACTTCAGTAAAGGACCGTGTAAGTCAAAGTCTGCCTTAAGGTTTCTGCCATTTTGATTTAGATGGGCTCTCACATAGGATCTCAGGCCAGTCTGGAACAGGATGATCTTGGTAGCTTCATTCCCCATGTGCTGGAATCCTCTGTGGCCAGTTCATATGGCACTGGGTGCAGAAGCCAGGGCTTCATGCATGCTAAGCAAGCTCTCTACCCACTGAGCCACATCTCTAACTCTCTTTTGAATTTCTTTTTTATAATACAATATTTCTGTTTGTTTTGAGAATGTCATACTTGTATATTATGCATTTTGTTTTTATTCACCCCCCACACTCCTCCTTCTAACTCCTCCCAGATCCAAATCCAAACCCACCCCCTTCTTTGTGGTTCTCGCTGCTGTTCTTGTTACATTGTATTTATTTTGTGTGTGTGCAAATGTGTGTGGAGGTACACACATACAAAGATCAGGGCACAACTTGCCGGAGTCAGTCTTTCCACCTTGTGGGTCCTGGGATTTGAAATCAGATTGTCGGGCTTGGCAGTAAGCCTCTTTACATGCTGAGCCATCTCACCTGCCCTCTTCTAGATTCTTAAATATTCTGTTTATGGGCTGATAAGATGGTTTCATGAGTAAAAGTGCCTGTTGCCAAGTCTAACACCTGTCCCCTCCCCAGGACCCCCATGGTGCCAGTAGAGGGCAGATTCCTGCAGGTTGTCCTCAGACCTCCACATGTATGCCATGCTGAACTCGTTCACCTCCATAAATAGTTAATGATTCAGTAATAATTCAGTCTCTTTCTGTGACTTGAATCACAACCCTGACTGAAAGAGTGCCCCCAAATCTTCCTGTGGTCTAGATTTACCTTTGGGGCAGTTGGGTAGGAAAAGCAGATTCCAGCCAAGTTTTTATGGTCCTTTGAAGCAAGCCAGGGATCTCAGCTACCCAAACCTGCCTAGAGATGACCAGTGTCTGTGTAGTTTGTCAGCTACATCTGCTCACAGCTGTGTCAGCCGCTGGCCTGCAGGTGGCGCCGGCGGACTCTCGGGGACCCTTTCCCTCCTTCCCCTTTCTCAGCAGCAGGGGCAAGGGCAGCAAGGGCCCTTCTCTGCAGCAGGGACTAGGGCAGCAATTCAAAGCAGCTGCTTGCCGGGTCTGGGTGGCCCCTGACAACAGTGTCTGTCTAACACACCTGTAGCTCTCCAGCTCCGTGTCCCCGCCCGTTCTTCCACAGAAGTCACACAGAACCAGAGAACCTGGGGCCACAATGGCTATGTTTCCCGTGGGAACCCCAGGGTTTGGAGGGAATGAGGGTGTCTAAAACAGGACACACTCTCAAGATGTGGACAGCATAGAGGAATTCTTTTCTTTATTATTTGGTTTTTCAAGACAGGGTTTCCCTGTGTAGCCCTGGCTGTCCTGGAACTCACTCTGTAGACCCAACTGGTCTCGAACTCAGAGATCCACCTGTCTCTGCCTCCTGAGTGCTGGGATTAAAGGCGTGCGCCACGACCGTCACCCAGAAGGAGTTATTTTCTAACCTTGGGACTAAAAAACTAGGAAATATCTTCTGCCCCCCAAGAAGACAGCTTCTCATGCTGCTCAGAATTAGATCACATTCAGACATCACATGATCACTCTGGTGCCGTCATACCTCAGCTGTAAGTGCTTCCCCATGCCGCACCACATGACACACACCATAGCCCAGAAGAGACTCCACTTACCGCCGAGGAAACTGAGGCACAGGGGGATCGTTGGTGATCTCAAGCCTAATTCCTTCGTAGGGCTGGGAGAGTAGGAAGGCCCCATTTGAGCACAACATGACAAGAATCCAAACTTGCCTTAGCCACGTATGGTGGTGTGCACATCTACAGCCCAACACTTCGGGGGTAGGGACAGAAGGAGCAGGAGTTCAAGGCCAGCCTCAACTACACAGTGAGTTTCAGGTCAGTTTGGAATATATGAGATGCTGGCTCAATAAACGCCCCCCAGACAACCAACTTTATCTGACACATGGTTGATGATTTAGCCAGTCATGGTGGGACGTGACTGTAATCCCCACTCTGGGAAGGCTGAGGCAGACTGAGACTTCAAGTTCCTAGAAGCCTGGGCTATAGATCTTTATATAATAATAATAATAATAATAATAATAATAACAACAATAAAGATTTAAAAATCAACCAATCAGTTCATCAATCAATCAACTCTGTCTGGGTTTTAAGAATTTCTTAATCAGACCTTCCTTCACCTTTCTTTTCTGTCCTCCTTCTTCTGTGTGTGTTTTGTTTTGTTTAGAGTGTGGGGGGTCTTAACTATGCCCCTGGCTTTCCTAGTACTCACTATGTAAACCAGGCTGCCCTGGAACTCACAGAGATCCGCCTGCCTCTGCCATTCTAGCTGGGACTAAGGCGTGCACCACCTTGCCCAGAAGTTATTCAATTTTTATCATCCTTTTCCCCTTTTTCTCCTTTTCTTTCTGTTTTTGTTTGTTTTGTTGTCTACTTATGTTTTGAGACCAATGGAGTCTCACATATTCTGGGATGGCCTCCAACATCCTCTGTGTAGCCGAGAATGACCTTGAGCTCCTAATCCTCTTGCCTCTGTTATCACTGTGTGGGGTGGGGGCCTGTGTGCAAGTGCACACGTACCATAGAGAGCTAGAGAGCACGAGGTCAGAGGACAGCTTCCAGGGACTTCGAACTCCTGATTCTCCTGGATGCTCCACTCTTGGAAGAGGGTGAATGAATGGGCGAAGGGATGGCCAACCTCCCTTTTGAAAGCAGGGAAGGTGGGATTGAAAACTGGAGGACAGTTTCAGTAGACAGCACTGGGAACCGATAAACTGATTTTCTTCCAACTCTGCACTCTAAAGATTTCCTTCTCCAATCAGAACAATCACCCATCAATTCTACCCCTTCTAATAGCTGGATCCCATGGGAGTGTGTGAGCTCGCGATATGTAATCAGACTGGCTTAAAAGTCTTTGTCTGTCTATTCCACCCCCACTTTACTTTTGTGAAACTTTTGATCTGCCTGCCTCCGTGCCTCCTCCTGCCCCTCAGTGCCAGAATCGCAGCCCATATGGGGCTCAGAATCCAGACTTCTTGTACCCATAAATAGTGCTACTTATTCAGTGTTGTCCTGATCTCCTTCATATTTGTAGGATGCTAAGGGCTTGCCAGCTTGGTGGCACACACCTGACATTCACTATGTGGGAGGCTGTCGGGAAGAGGGTGAGCTCAAGGCCATCCTGGACTACAGAGTGAGCCTGAGGGCAGCCCAGCACATAGCAAGAACATCTCTTTAAAATAATAATAATAAACGAAAGAAAAATGGGGGAGGGCAACGCTGGAGAGGCAGCCCCTGAGCGGTGAGCAGTGAGGCGAGAAAAGGCCCTGGCCTCCATCCTCAGCGCAGTGGAAACAAAACAGCAGCCAGGGCAATCTCAACTCCCAATTTCCCCGTGCACGTCCCTCTGCCCCAGTTATTCCCACAGCACTTGGAGTTTGGACTTCCCCTCCCACCCCTCACCTCTGCACCCTCTTTCAAGGAACTTTAAACGTCACAAACTTCCTTGAAAGAGCATGGCGTTCACTGGCAGGAGCTGTGACCTTCATGATCAAAGAGCAAGCAAGCTCCAGGAGGGCAGGAACCATTTTCAGATAACAGTGCACACCAAAGGGAACATCCGGCACAGTGCACATCGTCCTCACGCACTGGACTGGATGGATTTGAGCTCCAGCCTCAGCTACGTCTTCGTGTCCGAACTGTGCCACACCCATTTAAGTTGTGCATGACATCCATTTAATACATGTTTGTTAGACAGTTTCTCAGAAGCGAGTCCTGGGCCAGGTACTGGGGATCGCACTGAAGAACTCTAACATTTAGTTACAAACACTGAGAAAGGAAAACCACGAGGAGACCCAGAGGAAGGGGGAAGCTGAAGCTAGATCCCTGAGGCAAAATTGTAGCAGGTCTTCCTGGGTGGATTACCACAGCCCTCATTTCCCACAAGGAAGGGAGCAAGCAAACTTGACAGGTCAGAACTCACAACACAGGTCCAGGATGATGGCTCGGCAGGTAGAGGTACATCTGCCAAGCTTGATGATGTGAGTTTGATGCCTGGGTTAGAAGGAGAGACCTGACACCTAAAAGTTGTCCTCTGACCTCTACACATTCACCATGGCACGTGTGTGTGCGTACACACACACACACACACATGCGCACACACACACACACTCATGCACTAATTAAATTAGCCCTTGGACATAGCTAAGTGTGGCTGTGCCTACCACGGTTTAGGCCGGGGCATGCTGAGTTGACGGCCATCCTGAGCTATGAGAGAGACCTTGTCTCAAACACAACAATCCCTTCTGGACAGCGCAGAGAGGCTGGAAAAGAGAGTCAAGATCGCACCTGCATTTTGGAAATGCCATCCAGGCAGCAGGATTGGAAGGAAATCCCAGCGGAGCTCTTATTTAATTAGGAGCTGACAGAGACCAGCATGAGTGACCACCAGCAGTAGCACCACTAGTGTGGATTTATTAAACATGGGGCCAAATGGAGGAGCCCACAGTTCACTCTCCGCAGCTATGGGGATGGGAAAGGAGGGCTTAGTATTCTGTATCACACGACAGCGTCCGGCACAAACAACCAAAGGGAAGGAAGTTTTTTGTTTTTTTTTGTTTTTTTGTTTTTTGCTTAGGATTGGGAGGGCTCACTCCATTGTGGCGGGGGCAGCATGGCGAAGTAGTTCGGTGGATGACCCTGAGAGGCTGTTTACATCCTGGCAACACAGCGAGCAGAGAACACAGAGGAACCAAAGCTGGCCTCAGAGTGACCTACTTCCCAGGTAAGTCCTACCTGCTCCAGGCTCCACAGTCTCCCCAAAATAGTGCTCCGAGCTGGGGACAAGCATTCAACACACGAGGGAGGAGACAGCAATCTAGATTTAGAGCATCCTGGAGAGAGGCACAGGCACCCACGGGAGAGCGGCCCTGGTGAACTTCCTGGGCTCGCAGTGAGGGGTATGAAAACGGGAGCAAGCTTGGCAGAGTCTGAGGGAACAAGGTCCATGTTCAGAGATACGGGGCGCAAAGCGAGTCTGAAAGGCTTCAGACAAATGGCCCGATCTGCCTGCACCACCAGTAATGCAATCACAGTAACAGTAACCCAGCTCTTACGGTTGCTATGGGAATGGAGTAATATAGGTGGCCTCCAGGTAGGCAACAGATGCTCAATAAACACTTCAGACAAGACTCAGGATGGTCAGCATGAGTCCGTGCTCCGCAGGCCCTTTCCATCGGGACTGTGAACATCTCCATTGAGCAGCACGGGGAGTGCAAAGCGGCAGAGCCAGGTCCAACCCACAGTTCACACTACCAACCACCTCACCACACCTGCTGCCTCTGGGACCTTGAACTTGAACTTGAGGGAGGGAGGGAGGGAATGAAGGAGGGAGGGGCAGGAGCAGGGGGCAGATGGGAGCAGTTTTATTTGGAAGTATGCCTCCATGACTTGGTGGTAGTCTGGAGGGGTCTCAGAGGGCAGATGACCTTTGGGGACAGATGACCTTTGTCTTAATTGTCTAGTTTCTTTCCCAGCCCTGGTCACAGGGTCCTGGAGGTTGAAGCACAGAACCATATTCTTGATCATGAACACCCCAGACAGCCTCAACAGTCTGGGCCTGGTGAGAATGGCAAGACATCCTATCTTGGACCGACTTCTGGTCAGCAGACCTGGGCCCGTAGCCCCAGGACCTTATGCAGAGGCTGGAGTCACCCACAGCCCGCTGTAGCCAGGTCCTGGTAGACACAGCGTCAGGAGAACAAGGGTCATCAGAGGCTAGTTTTCTGGTGCCGAGTCCAGTTTATCTTCCTGAGAGGCAGAAGCCAAGATGGGAGTCTCGTCCCCACCATTGAGGGACTTCTGTTCACTGCTGTTGGCTGAAAGGGTTCTGTTGCCTTGGGAACCCCAGCGGGTCAGCCGCTTTAGAGAGGAGTCCCGGCGAGCGAGGGGAGGGGGCTGGAAGCCAGTGAAGGAGCTGCTGGTGGTCGGACGCTTATCTGGCAGAGAGAGAGGTAGAAGGAAAAAGCGAGTTGAAATGGGAGAAGTGAGGGTCTTGCCTTAGCTCTGGGAGAGGGGAGACCTTTGACTTTTTCCACCTTTGTGGCCCGGGAGACCTGGAAGACTCCCTTACTCCACCCCAAGAAGGGAAGGCTCACCTCCTGGCTCAATCGGACGCATGAGCCTGTTCATCTGGACATTCCAGTGTTTCACGTTGGTGCTGGCCTGGCGCAACTTCCTCTGGGCGGCCTGTGGAGCAGGTGGTGGGAAAGGGTCAGAACGGCCATCCGCGGTGGCGGGTCAGGTTCAGACCCCCTGAGAATCTGACTGCAGCACCTCATCATCTCCCTGGGAAACTCACGTAGGGCCAGCCATGGTGGTGCATGCTTGGAATATGTACTTGGGATGTAAAGGAAGGAGGAGGTCATGGCCTGGACTACATAGCAAATTAGAGATGTGAGATCCTGTATCAAAAACGGTGGGCGAAGGGAGCTAGAGAGATGGCTCAGTGGTAAAAACACTTGCTGCTCATACAGAGGACCCAGGTCTGCTTCCCAGAACCCACACGCAGCTCATCTGTAACTCAAGGTCCACGAACTCCAGTTCCTTCTTCTAGTCTCCAAGGACACTTGCATGCAGGCTGTGCACATACACATCACATAAAAGAAACAAATCTTTAAAAAACAAAGCCCACACATGTTCACAGAAAGTCAGAGTCTGCCTCCAACTTCAGGGCACTCGCATCCTCCCAAGTTCAGCGATCATCATTTTCATTTACCGAGCTGCTAAGACATGCTAAGCGCATTTCCTATTTTATTTAACTTCCTGAGCAGAAGCTAACACAGACAAATTTGAAACAGGTTAAACAACAAACCCAGGGACATACACTGGATATCAAACCATTGTTTAACAAATTCTCTAGGGCCTCATGGGAGAGTCTCTGAGCCAGAATTCAGAGCCCTAAGCAGGGTGAGTGGGCAGGCCCACCCTTCCTGTGTTGTCCATTTTGTGTTGTTGTAGTTGGCTGTGACCCAGGGTGCTAGCGACTAAACCTGGGTCCTCTTCACCACTGGGCTAACTCTCCAGTCGGCATTGTTTTTGCAATGACTGTGTCAGCCAGAAAAAATTAAATAAAGCTCTTTTAAGATTTATATTTATTATTTTAAATTATGTATGTCACCAGGTGGTGGTGGCACATGCCTTTAATCGCAGCATTCAGGAGGCAGAGGAAGGTAGATCTCTGTGAGTTTGAGGTCAGCCTGGTCTATAGGGTGAGTTCCAGGACAAGATCCAAAGCTACACAGAGAAACCCTGTCTTAAAAAAAAATTATTATATTGTGTCTGGGTATAAATATACACAGCAGTGCAGGTGCCCACGGAGGCCCGAGGAGTTGGATCTCACTGGAGCCGCAGCCACAGACGGCTGGGAGCCCACTGATGTGGGTGCTGGGAACTGAGCTCGGGTGCTCCGGAAGAGCAGCACATGTTCTCTCTGGGTAGCTCTGGCAGGCCTGAACTCTCTGTAGACCAGGCTGGCCTAGAACTCAACAGAGATACACTTGCCTCTATCTCCTGAGTGATAGGATCTAAAGGCCTAGCACTAAAACCCAGCAAAAGCTTGTTTAAAATGTATTTATTTAATTTCCTTTTATGAGACAGGGTCTTGTGTGTTCAGACTCACTATGCAGGCGGTGATGACCGTGAACTTCTGATCCTTCTCTGTCCAACTCTTTTTTGTTTGTTTGTTTGCTAGTTTTTGTTTGTTTGCTTCTAAAATTTTATCTAGCTTTATTTTATGTGCATTGGAGTGAAGGTGTCAGATCCCCTCAAACTGGACAGCTGTGAGCTGCCATGTGGGTGCTGGGAATTGAATCTGGGTCCTCTGGAAGAGCAGCCAGGTGCTCTTAACCCTTGTCCAACTCTTGAGTGCTGAGATTACAGCCTCAGTGCCTGATACAAACAGTGCTGGGGAGTGAACCGGGGGCTTTGTGCACGCCAGGCTGGAGAGATGGCCCTTAGAGGACCAGGGTGGGACACCCACAGAGTAGCTCACAAGTGCCTGTAACTCCAGTCCCAGGGGGTCCAGTACTACCACTTTCTGGACACCGTGGGTGCTGCTTGCGCACGGTACACAGACATACATGCAGAAAAAGCAACCACACACATAAAAGGAAATAAAAAAATTTTAAAAGCTTAAAAAAAGCTAGAACCCTTATCTACAGGGATTCAAGCTTCAAGGAGTGTCTACAAATCTAGGGCTTAGAAGAGGAGGAGGGGAAATTCTGCTCAGGTTAATTATACTATTGGCAAATACAGCCACAGGTGCGTTCTGTATTTACATACTAAATACCACGTATTAGCTTGTTTCATTGTGGTAACAGGACTTATCTGTTTCCTTTCCCAGAGTTTCAGACTCAGAGAAGTTAAGCAATCTGTAGGCGGTAACACAGCCAGCTGGTAATAATGCAAGTGTAAAGCAAGGTAGCTTGGTTCTGGGGCAGGCGAAATGACACACTGGCTCCCCCAGTTTCTCCCGGTTCCGGCGGGTGTCTCACCTCCACGTCCTCGTCCGCCCTCTGCCGGTTCAGCCGCACCTCCTCCAGCTGCTGCTGGGCTTGCTGCAGGGAACGGCTCTGCAGCGCCATCTCCTGCTGCATCTCCTCCTTCTCCTGCTGCGCTCGCTCGATGTAGCGTTCCTGCTCCTCCTTCAGATGCATCAGCTGCTTTAGCTTCTCCTCCTCTTCCTCCAGTAGTCTGCAGGAGCGCACAGGAACCTCTCAGAGCGGGGCGTGGAGGGGGGCGCTCAGGCGCTGGCGGGAAAGGGACCCCGTCCTCGGGCGGTTACCTGGTTTGGGCGAGGCGCACGGCCTCCTCATCCCTCCTAGCTTTCACCTCCAGTTGCAGGGCTTCCTGCAGCCGCTCCTGCATCTCCTCCAGCTCGGCGATGCGCTGCCGCTGCCGGGCCGCCTCTTCCTTCTTCAGCTCCATCTCAGCCTGCATAGATGCCCGGGCCTGTGGGAGCGCAGAGCCGGTCAGTGGGACACCGGAGGAGACAGACAGGCTACTGCCTCTCCTGGGCTTTGCCTGGCTGTTTGTATTGGAGGATTTTTAGTTGGGGTTTCCTGATTTGACCTGTGCAAGAGCCTGATGCCTCAAATTATTCTTTCCTTCCACAGGCCTTAGAAATAATAATTAGGCGTTTGCTGGGGCTGTAGTTCAGCGGCAGAGGGCTTGCCTAGTATGCCCACGGCCCTGTGTTTGCTAGCCAGCACCTCACAAAACAGCACCAATTATAATTATATGTAATTAAACATCATAATATGTTATATTACAATAAAACAACATATTAAATTATGATAATCCCTTCCTAACTCCGACCATAACAATTATAATATTATGGTGGGTGCCAGGGACTGCAGTTATTAGGACAACCAAAAGATATTGAATTTTTTTATTATTTAAAAGTTTTTATTCATGTGCATGGGTGTTTTAGCTGCATATCTGTCTGTGCACTACGTGTGGACAGTGCCCACAGAGGCCAGAAGAGGGTGTGGGATTCGCTGGCTGGTTTTGAGCTGCCATGTGGGTGCTGGGAGCCCAAGTTGGGTCCTCTGAAAAAGCAGCCAGTGCTCTTAACTGCGGGGCCATCACTCCAACCCCACTTGGTTCCTTGAGACAGGGTCTCAGGAGGTCCAGACTGGCCTTAGACTCTCTAGGTAGCAAGAATGACCTTGAACTCTTGAGCTTCCTGCCTCCACCTCTTCAGCGCTGAGATTAGAGGCCTGAGACACCCTGCCTGGCTTTATTGAACTTCTTACAAGTATTTCTTCACCGAATCCTTGGCCTAGCTCCATGAACAGAGTTCTAGTTGGTGATACAGGGAGACTTAGCACGTGCTGCGTTCTTACAGCTCTTTCGGTGGAGGCGTAATGAGCACACATGCCACAACACGCCTATGGCCGTCAGAGGACAGCTTTGTGGAGCCGGTTTCCTCTGCCTATCTTTAGGAGGTTCCAGGAATAGAATTCAGGATACTAGGTTTGTGCGGGAAGCGACATTACCCGCTGAACCAGCTCGATGGTCTAGAACCGAGTTTTCTCAAATTATAAATTCAATTGTTTCTGTGTGTCTACTCTGCCTTCGTATGTCCTACCTACTAATCCCAACCTATAGTCCCCAAACTGGTTTTGTTAAAACGTGGTTCAAGTCTAGATTGACTTCATTCCAAACCATTTACAATCACTAGGTCTTAAGCAGCTTTTTCGGCCCAAGTTCAGACCCCAGAAAAGATTTCTGAGCTAGGTCCCATTCTATACCAGTGGTTTGCCATAGGCTCTACCCCCATTACGGCCCCTCCCCCCACACCCATTGGGCCACGCCCACAACATTCTCCACCCTACGGGAACCACCCTTTATCCAGGCCCCGCCTACGGGATAATTCAACTTCACTCCGTTCGACCATCAGCATACGGGCTCCACCCTCTCTAGGCTCCTCCCATAGCATCCTCCAGACCATAGGCTACGCCCTGTACGTAGGCCCAGCCCTGGCCCTCTTCCTGTCACTCTTCCGTCATGACCCCGCCCCACCCGAATCCCTCCCAGAGGCTCCGCCCCCTGTCCAAACCCCGCCCTCTGGACAGCCTCACCTGCTCCGCCTCCCGCAGCTGGCCTTCCAGAGCCTGCTGCAGCTCCCGATGCTGACTGCGACGGCGCTCCTCCTCCTCCTGCAGCAGCCGCTCGGCCTGCCGTTGCGCCTCCTGCAACAGCTCCAGCTCCTGCAGTTTCCTCTCCTTCTCCTCCTGTAGCTGCTGCAGTCGCAGCAGCTCCTCCTCCTTGGCTGCCCGGCGCCGCTCGCGCTGCTCCCGCTGCTCCCGTCGCTTCTGCTTCAGGTCCTTATGCAGCGACGTCTTCCCTTCCGCCTGCAACCTGATCGCGGTCTGGATGGCTATGGGGTTGAGCGGGATGGAGTCAGCCGGGGCCTAGGCCACCACGGCCAAGGGCCTCCAAGGGTCGCTCGGATGAAGTGACCGAGGCCCAGCTAGACCCAGACCCGCACTCACCGGCCGTCCACTCCTGGCGCTGGCGCGTGTCTGAGGCGCTCATCTCGTAGGTGCGGCTAGCCGTCTTCACACAAAACATGCAGCGCTTTCCTTCGCGGTCCTGAAGCACCTAGGAAAGGGATAGATGGCCCCGGGTCAGATGACTTCACTGAGATGGGGACCATATCTGTCTTAGCTCTAGACACCCCCCCCCACACACACACACTGACCTCTTCTCTGGGACCTTCCCCACCCTGAGGGGAGTATGTATGGTCTGGGGTGGTGGATGGTTAGTTATGGGGCTAGTTTTTGTTCTCTGAAGGTTAGCTGGCACCATTTTCATCTTGATATCTTGATATCTCTCCACAAGGTTTAGTATATAGAACACGCTTAAACATGTGCCCAAGTCCTCACCGCCTGCAACTGCTGCTTTCCAGCTAGTCTCTCAAATGTCACCTGTTCTTCAAGGGTTTGGGGAGAATAATGGTACAGGGGTGTGTCTGAGGTTTTTACCTCCACTAAACTTATGTTCTGTGGAAAATAACAGTTATCTACAGTAGTGGGTTTTTTTTTTGAGGGGGGGGGGGTCGAGACAGGGTCTCTCTGTGTAGCTTTGGAGCCTGTCATGGAACTCACTCTTTAGACTAGGTTGGCCTCGAACTCACAGACATCTGCCTGCTCTGCCTCCCGAGTGCTTGGATTAAAGGTGTTTACAGTGGTGTTTTCTTTCTTTTTTGTTTTTTGAGACAGGGTCTCACATTATAGTCTTAATTGTTCTGTAATTCACTATGTAGACCAGGCTGGCCTTGGCTGGCTTTGAACTCAGGTAGCTCCTCTATTTCCCAAGGGCTAGGATTAAAGATGTGCACCACAACATACCCAGCCCTGCACTGATGGGGTTTGTTTGTTTTAACATTTTTGATGACTTATTTATCTTTATTTTATGTGCATTGGTGTTTTCTGCTTGTGTGTCTGTGTGAAGGTGTTAGATCCCCTGGAACTGGAGTTACTACAGTCGTAAACTGCCATGGGGTTGCTGGGAATTGAACCTGGGTCCTCCGGAAGGGCAGCCAGTGTTCTTAACCACTGAGCTACCTCTCCAACCCCTGCACTGGTGTTTTCTATACAACATTTATCTGTGGTCATATATTCCTGTCAGGCATCACTTCACAGAGAAAGAAACTGGTTCTGAGATGTCTGGTGGCTTGTTCAACACTTGTTTACTTATGTAACAAAAGTGTATACAGCCAGCCAGGTGGTGGTGGCGCTTGCTTTTAATCCCAGCCCTGAGAGGCCGGTCTGGTCTACGAGAGGTAACTGATTATTTTTTCTTGAGACAAGGTTTTGATATGTAGCCCAGGTTGACCTCTACCTCCAGTTTTCCCTGCCTCAATCTCCTGAATGCTGGAAGCCCTTAACAAATCTTTAGTGTAATGTAAAAACAAAGATATAGACATTATATTAAAAAATGTAATAAACGAAGATATAGAGAAGCTGTAATACTTAGATCCCATTGATGAGTGTATCAGATGATACAACTGTTGAAAAAAAATTTGCATTTCCTCAAAAGTTAGAATTGTTATATGTTCCAGCAATTCTACTCCTATATAAGTATGGGCCAAAGAGAAATGAATACATATCCAATAGAAATATGTCCCGTGCCAGGGGCTGGAGCGGTGGTTCAGCAGTTAGGAGTGCTTGCTGACTGCTCATGCAGAGGATCTGGCTTTGGTCCCAGCACTCACATGGCAGCTCACAGCTATCATTAACTCTAGTTCCAGTAGCCCTGACTCTTCTTACCTCCCAGGTTCCTGAACACATACAGTGCACAGACACACACTCAGGTACACAGACACATAAAATTAAACAGAAAAATAAATATTCAGAAACCCAGTGCCAGGTGTGAGTCACTTTTGGAGTTGCTGGCCCCTGAGGTCCTATAGATCCCCAAGCATCACAGGCTATGGAGATTGTACTTCAGATCCTGACAGAGAGGCCCTGTTGCTAAGGCTTGAGTCTCAGAACATGACAAAAACCAAGCCAGTGTGAACTTAGAAGATTTCTCTCTACTGGCTGGCTTCCACAGTGCTGGAAGGTTCATGATAGCGGAGAAAAGCTGTCCTCAATCATGCTACAGGCTACAATAATGACTGGCCTGAATACACGCCCACTGTCTTTACATGACACAATAGCGTCATGACCATCATGGGAACAACCAACCGCTTTCTGATTAGATCAGAGTCCCACGTCACAGGATGAAACCTGTAGTAGTATTTCATCTGTATCTTAATAAATAAAGCTTGCCTGAGGACCAGAAAAATAAAACAGTCACACTGACCAGCCTTAGAGACCAGGCAACAATAACACACACCTTTAAATTAATCCCAGCAGCCACACCAGCTTGTCATAGACACCAGGCGGTAGTGGTGCACACCCTTAATCTCAGCCCTCGGGAGGATTATAAAATTAGAGGAGACGGCTCTCAGACAGTCTCATTCTGAGGTTTCCTGGAGGCAGAAATGCCGTTTCAGACTGAGGTTGAGGTAAGAGCCAATGGCTGGCTGTTTTGCTTTTCTGACCTTCAGGTTGAACCCCAATTTCTGTCTCCGAGTTTTTATTAATCATGCTTCAGAAATCCATACTGACACCATTATTTAGCAACCTATGACTAGACAGGCCCTAGAGGAGAAGCCACTACAATTGATGCCGCCGAAGGGCAGGGTGTTACACTAACTCCCAGTGATGCATCACTGGTCCCCAAGGCCAACGCATCTCTTATCCCTTAATTGAGAAGCTTCTGTGCATGGTAGATGGTGGTAAACACAGTGATGTACAACCGGCCAAGTAAGAGATTGCACAATACTCAGCCCTACAGGGGGCGGGCATACTGCAAACTCCCTCCCAAGGTTCAGGGATCGTTTTGGAAGAGAGTGTGAGAGCCTGAGGCAGCTGATGGCTGGAAGGGACACATTATCTTCTGGACATGGCAGGGCAGCTCACACCATGGACAAAACCTGTTACAAGCCCAAGCTGAAGCAAATCCCAGCAGGGACAGGGGAGGTGGGCACACTATCCCACCACAAGCAGCCAAGCTAATGGCAACTGTTTGCTGGGAAATGAAGCGTCGATTTTCTCTGAGAGTGTAGCCCTTGGTAAGCCAACTGCTCTCCAGAATCCAGGAATATTTGGGCAGCACAAATCATCTTGAAAGATTAAGAAAGAGAGTGTGGGAGGCAGTGGTAGCAGAGAGTGGAGGCGGGTGGCGGTAGCGGACTGGAGTCTCAACCGCACCAAGGCAGACACTTTGGTGGAGCGAGGCCAGGAGTCCTGGCTTAGAGGAGAGGGTCGCCGGACCGGGAGGGGAGGAGGCAATGCTGGAAGCTATGGTGGAGCCCAGTCCCAAAGATCCACCTCCGACTCTTAAGCCAGAGACTCAGCCACCAGAGAAACTGCAGAGAACAACTGAGTATTTCAACGAATTCTGCAGTTTTGTCTTGGCTTATGCGGGTTACACCCCTCCTAGCCAAGAGGTCCCTGACAGCGCCACAGTGCTTGAGAAGATGAAGCTCAAGGACTCTGTTTGATCTGGAAGGACCCAAGGCGTCATTTCCGCTGTCTCCCACACCCCTGACGCATCCCTCCCGGTCCTGTTGCTCTCACCCCTGTGCCACCTTCCAGCGGGACCTTTCTCAGCCTCGAAAGAAGGACCGAAAGAACAGAAAGTTGGGACTAGGAGGTGGGGCTGGCTTTGGGGTGCTTCGGAGGCCTCGACCGGCTCCTGGGGATGGGGAACAACGGTTTCGAATCAAGAAGAGCAAGAAGTGGAAGTTGAAATAGGCAGATCGTGGGGATAGATTCCCACCTCCTGGCCCCTCTAGGGCACCTCCCAGGGATACAGACTCTGAAGAGGAGGAGGAAGAGGAAGAGGATGAAGAAGAGAGGACAACAGTGGTGAAGTCCCAGTCCCTGTGCTCCAACACCCCCTGGAGTCCCCAGGCCCCCTGTTACAGGACACCCTGAAGGTGCTCTCCCTACTGACAGTGAAGGCAAGGAAGTGGGCAGCACAGAAACAAGCCAAGACGGAGATGCCAGCTCCAGTAAAGGTGAGATGCGGGTCAGGGATGAGGACATCATGGTGGAATCGGGTGAGAAGCGGTGAGTCGTGGGATCTGATCACATGTTACTGCAGAAAGCCCTTTGCTGGGCAGCCAGTGATTGAGTACAGCCTGTGTAGGACATGGATCCACCTCTCTTGGGCTAAGATTAAGAAGCCCAATGTTCCTGACTTCTTCTGTTGCCAGAATTACACGGAACTTCGTCCAGAGGCCCGGCGGTTTGGGGGTCTTCCCGAATCGGGAGAACCCTGACATCACTCTTGGAGGCTGGAACTTTGACATCACTTGGGAACTGAGCCTCAGGGTCTTCAGCCTCTTCAAGGCTGGAATTCCCGAGGGAGACTTGTTTGAGTGTCTTCTCTGTCCCTCCTGCTCCATGAACCTGAATTAGACCCATTACAGTTGGGTCAGGGGAGGCTGGGTCTGTAGACAAAATCTGTCGGGTGAACTGGCCACCCTTTCCACATTCATTCTGGCCAGGGCTCAGACGGGGCTGTAACGGGACAGTTGTCTATAATCTGTAGTGTGAATATAACAGTCCCCTCATGGCTTCCTCTCTCTCCCTCCTATTTACTTTCTTCCACACCTGCTGTATTTTTAATTTTGGACTCCCTATGTTTGAGCATGGTGGTTGCTCAAAGGCAGAGCACCATACCTGGTGGAGTGGGGGAGGAAAGCAAAAGGTATCAATTATCACTAGAATCATTTTTAATAATATTGACTGGCTGCTTGTACAGACAGCCAGTGTGTTGTAAATAAAGCAGAATGGGCTCTTGTGTTTTACAAAAAAGTAAAATAAAATAAAAAAAAATAAAGAAAAAAGTGATATGAGCCAGGTGGTGGTGGCGTATGCTTTTAATCCCAGCACTCGGGAGGCAGAGACAAGTGAATCTCTGTGAGTTCGAGGCCAGCCTGGTCTACAAAGTGAGTTCCAGGACAGGATCCAAAGATATAGCGAAACTCCGTCTTAAAAAACAAAACAAACAAAAAACAAAAACAACAACAAAAAAAAACAAACCCCACCCTGCCCCTGGGGAACAAAAGAAAGAAAAAGTGATACAAAGTTGGGTGGGAATGGGGGGTAGATATGATCGAGACAAGCTGCATGACATTCCCAACTATAAAAGGCTTCCATTCAATCCTAGCACCCATGTAGGAAGCTGGTGTGAATGACGGGACGTGCTCTTCTACCGGCACCGAGGAGGTGGAGACAGGCAGTGCAGAGCTCGATACTTGCCCTAGGTGACAGACCCGAGCCACTAACGTGCGGTCTTAACAAGCAAACAAAACGAGGTTGGGAGAGCCGGGAGGTAGTTCAGCAAAGTGCTGGCTGCATAGGCCTGAGCTCCTGAGTCCTAGCCAAGCGCGGGGTTAAAAGCCAGGCGTGACGATGCACGTCATAATCCCAGTGCCAGGAGGCAGAGGGAGGAGAGACCCTGGGTTTCTCTGGCCCACCAGCCTTGCTGAACCAGTGCACCCCAGGTTTCAGAGTGAGGGACTCCGGGGTGGAATATCACTTTAACTATGTAAAGATGTGTTACATTTGCTTATGTTGCATTTGCTTAATGATGTAAAGATGTGTTACTTTGCCTGCCTAAGACAGCTGATTGGTCTAAAAGCTAAATGGCCAATAGCTAGGCAGCAGAGGGATAGGCAGGATGGTGGGCAGGGAGAATAAGTAAGAGGAAGAATCTAGGCTTGAGAGGAGAGAACTAGGGAAGACAGGGAGATGCCCGGGGCCAACCAGCCAGGCAGCTGCCAGCCAGACACAGAAGCACGAAAAGTAGGACATACAGAATGAAAGAAAGATAAAGAGCCCCAAGGCAAAACACAGGCGGAAAGGAACAGATTGAATTAAGTTATCAGAGCTGCTGGGACAGAATAAGCCCGAGCACTCATCTTCACTTGGGAGCTGATTGGTGGCCCTGGAAAAGCACACTACAGGACTGCATCTCAAAAACTCAGGTAGATGACATCAAAGGATGACTTCTAGCCTCCGTGTGCCCATGCACATGTGAGTGCAACACAAACAAACAACAAAGTGCATAGGTCTTAGAGAATGTCACCCTAGTTTAAACTTTGGTTTCCATATATAGGTGCATGTACACCTACAAACAAATGTGCACATGTACCCACAAGAACACGTGCACACACACACACACACACACACACACACACACACACACACACACACGAATGATCCCAGTATTTGAGAAGTAGAGAAGCAAGAGGACTAGGAATTCAAGGTCTGTCTTGACTACGTAAATAAGTTCAAGGCCATGCTAGACTAGAAGAAGCCCTGTCTCAAAGGGAAAAAAGAAACTGGAAGGCTTGCTGTGGAGTGTAGATCTGAGTCATCTCTATCGGGGTTTAATAATCCACCAATGACTTCCGCGCCTGGTCGGTGGTTTTATGGGGCTGACACAGGGCTGGTATGGCGGAACACCTGCCTAGCGAGACGCCAGGTTTGACCACTCACACTACAAAAGGAAAAGAAGTGCTGACGTGGACGAGAATGGCTTCAAGGCAGCCAGGTGTGTCTGAGCTGTACCAACCTAATCTAAGTGGAACCATCCCAGTGAGGTTTCTCTTCCCTCCACCCTTGCTCCCGACCCCTTGTCCACCCACTGCGCCCTCACCTCCACACAGCACTGAGCATCCAGTGGAATGGTGCCTCTTTTCTCCTTGCATTCTTCACTCCCAAAGTAGCAGAGGCAGCTGGGCTGCAGCTGGAACCAGCGCTCTGCCCAGTTTCTCCTCAGGTGCCCTCGCTTCCACAGATAGCCCTGCAGACAGAGGCAAGTAAGAGAGGCCTCCTAGGTATCCATCACCCCCTCCCAATGGTCCTCTAGGTCTCCATCATCCCCTCCCTATGGTCCTCTAGGTCTCCATCACCCCCTCCTGATGATCCTCTAGGAATCCA